CACACTCACCGGACCTGGGCCAGGACTGGGTCTCGGGACCTCCTCTTTTTGAGACTTTTTGCACATCAAAAGAAATTACCAATGAAGTGAAAAGAACCCAAAATTTGGAAAAAATCTTCACCAATAAGCACTCAGACAAATGTCTGCTCTGTAGAATTTATAAAGAACTAAAAAAAATTAGGGCCCCAAAATTTAAAGACTGAATCAGAAATGGTCATCCGAGATGAACACACATGCCTCAGAGGATGAAATTGAAGGAGCAAATAAATAAGTGAAAAAGAGTTCCACATCACTAGCCATCCATGAAATGCAAATGAAAACAACACTGAGACACCATCTCACCCCAGAAAGAATGCCTATCATAAAGAAATCAACCAACAACAAATGTTGGGGATGCTGTGGGGAAAAAGGAACCCTTCTCCACTGTTGGTGGGAATGTAGACTGGTGCAACTGTTATGGATATCAGTGTGGAGACTCCTTAGAAAACTAGGACTGGAAATCCCATTCAAACCACCTACCTCCCTACTAGGAATTTCTCCAGAGGAACTGAAAATGTCATATTATAGTGATATATGTGTACCTAAGTTTATAGAAGCACAATTTGTGATAGCTACATCTTGGAAACAACCAAGATGCCCATCACCTGAGGAATGGATGAAAAAGATGTGGTATTTTTATACAATGGAGTATTACTCAGCAATAAAGAATGATAAACTCGAAGCTTTTATATTTAAGTGCATGCCACTTGAAGATATACTCTTAAGTCACATAAACCAGACTCACATGTATAAATATCATTTAGTTTTCCTCGTATAAGAACTCAAAAGAAAAAATAAAAATAGAATGGTATAACACAAATAAAAGGAAAGTAGACATTGAGGATTACTGAATAAAGAGAGGGAAAGGAGAAAAGGTAGGAAACATGACAGGGGCAAAGCCATATATTTATATGCACAAGATAGGTAAGGAAATGATCCTGAGGATCCTAGCATGTTTTTGAAACTAGCAGTTAATTGGTAGGATTCTCACCCTGACTAACTATATATGCTGACACCTGGGAACTAAGCAACGGCACTGAAGTTAGCAATGTGCAATGGTAGGGTCATGCTTGGAATGCCTGTCATTCTGTTCTTCTAAATACATACTCCTTGGAGCTGAGGAGATGGCTCAATGGAATAAGCGCTTCCCTGACAAGCGCAAGGGCATGAGTCTAATCCACGGTTCCACTAAAAATAAAAATAAAAATAAATAAATAAATA